GGTGACCATGTGTTATATTTGAAAAAATCACGATTTTTGTGTTCGAATAATATAGAAAGAGGAGAAAATTGAGAGGAATAACATTTCTGAATGTTTGTGTTTTTTTTTTTCGTTGTCCCAAATGCCTTGTTTTTTTTTTGTGCCCTAAATGTTGTGTTTTGTAATTTTGAAGTGTATGCGACGCTCTTCGGTAAAACCCTAATGGAATGGCGTAGTGATAAAATAAGGATGATAAATCAAATGCATCTACTATACCTTTAGTTAAAATTTTGGAATTTGGAGTCAACAATCTTCGTTACTAAAGAAAAAATTAGGTGCTCTTGATTGGTTTGTATGAGTAATTCCTTCTCCCTTTATGCCACTTAGATATAACTTCAAGCATACATCGTAGTCTTTTTTATATGAGGCACTTTTTCTTAGTTTAATGCACAATTGCACATCTATATATAATGAAGTATTTGAGCCTTGGATTTGAATGCACGGAAGCTCGCTTGCTTCTTGTTGTTAGTGTTGGCAATGTAATTAAAAATGGAGCGCTTCTACTATGCTATATAGCATTGGTGCTTTAATGTACAACTCAAAGTTGTACCATAAGTCCATAACCTTAAATGTATAAGTTTAGGTTGTACCATAAAGCAATTTGTACTATTATGTTATGGTACAACTTTACAACTTGAAGTTGTACCATCACATAAAGGTGCAAGTTCAAGTTGTACCATAAAAGAATTTGTACAAAAGTATAGGTACAATCTAAAGTTGTACCATAACGTAAATGTACAATTTTAAGTTGTACCAGAAAGGCAAAAACATATAACACCGATACTATATAGCATTATAAATTGTAAAATTTCTGTTAAAAACTGTATTAAGTCTTAATTTTTTTAATCATGATGCCATCTGACTTCACAAAATTTGCTTAGCTGGAAAGAGTAGGAGTGGAACTTTGGAAGGGAAAGGCAGCAGGAAGTTAGATTGGTGAAGAAAGTAGACATGCAGCAGCAGGGTGCCACGTTGAAATGTTGGCCGACGGTACGAAGCCAAAGAAAGTAAGAAATTACCTAACTTTGCTCTTTCTTGTTTTTGCGCTAACTTAATGATAATAAGGTTTAGTTTGGTAGACCATAAAATTAGAAATTTTAGGAAAAGAGTGCAAAAAAGGATTCGAAACACTAGAATATGGGATTTCGACTAGTATAGCAATTTTCTTCTTGTTTAAACAATTGTTATATTGACTCGAGAGAATTATTGGTTACGTCTTTTTCAAGCATTTCCTTTTCTTTGGGAAGTCTGCAAGACTAAGGGGTCGTTTGCTTCAAGGATTTGGTACATGGATTTGGTACCAAAAAACCAACTATCAAGGATTTAGGTACAATCCGTTGTTTGCTTGCACCTTTTTTGGAGACCAAATCTGTGGGGGCCCACGGATTTTAAGGGTCCAAATCCGTAGACCCCACGGACTTATAAATCCCACATGTTGATGTGGGATTTGGAATATGGCATAAATCCTTGATGAGATTTTACCCATATACCCTCATGCACTTTTAATATTCCAAGGTTGCCCTCAAATTTAACTATTATACATTATAATTAATAATAAAATGAATAATATAAACGTTCAATTAATGTGCAAACATGAGTTAGATTTTTTATATCATTTCTTGTGTTCTAGTTTTCTTTGACCTTTTCATGGAACGTGTAATTCTTTGTTCTCCCGATTCTAATATATGTTGTTATATGTCACTTTTGAAAAGGAGGACAAAGAATTGGTAATTGATTATGCTACGTTAAAAGTTAAAACAGAATTTTCTCGTTTATTATTATTGTCCATGTGGCAACATTATGCTTATTAGTATGTATTGTCCTTATTTTGTGTACATATCATAAACATATAAACATGTCAAACATATAGAAAATGATAGTAAGGTAATTTTGAAGTTTTGTCCTTGTTTTGTGTACATATCATAAACATGTCAAACATATAGAAAAAGGGCAGTTTGTAATTTTTGACTTCAAGTAGTAAATCCCATACCTTTAAATCCATGATAAAAACATTCCAACAAACAAAGGATTGTTACAAATCCATGATGCCTCAAATCCTTGATAAATCCTTGGGTTTTTAAATTACAAAACCCTCATTTTTAAATCCATGAAGCAAACGACCCCTAAGTTTTTGTAGCATCAAATTGTGTATACATATTATATAAAATATAGTATGGTGATCAACAACGTCATGAGTTCAACGATGTCGCGAGGTTAAAGATCTCCCAAGTTTAGCAACATCGCGGTGAGTAGGTGAGTCCAACAATGTCGTTGGATTAAAAGAACGGCCTTGTTTAATCAACCACATCGCCACGAGTCCTGCGGCGGCGTGGTTTCAAGCAGTGGAGTTTTATTAAGGCTCGAATCAAGTTCTGATGTGGTGCATCAATGAAGCAACAATGCAATGTTCTGAACTGCGACACTGTTCCTAGGCTGGGTTCTTTTTGTGCACGTGAGTCTCACGTGGAGAGAAATCGAGATTGGAGATGTAGTGTCGTTTATGACTACAACGTTTGCAACGAATGTATTTTCTTTGACGTGAGATTCAAGTCAATTAGAGTTAGGAGGAGATCAAGTCGGTTGAGACACGTGGGAGTTCTCCCGGACGACGGAGTAGCTGAGGAAGCAGTTGTGTAACAAAGTTATGTGAGACTACGAGGATGGTTTTTGATAAAAATGACTAGAGCAAGGAGAGAGATGGGACAATAAAATCAACACTGAACAACGTGGGCACCGGGCCGTGCCGCCCACGGGCTAGCACGATACGGCACGGTTAGAGCACGACACGAGCACGAGCACGAAATAAATGGGCCAGCCCGGCACGAGCACAAATAATTTATGGGCCGTGCCGGGCCTAAACTTCATGAGCACGGGCACGAGCACGAGCACGGACACGGCACTATATATAAGTGGGCCGTGTCGGGCCTAATATTTTCTAGACTTTATTGAGTATAAGAACGGGCATGGCACGAAAATAATATTTATTTGATAGAAAATAAATGTAAAAAGAATTATAGGTTCAAATATTACAAAACACAAGTAGAAAAATAATTATTTGTTATTGTTAGAAGTGTCATAATGATATATACGTAATTACTAACATAAGTAAAAATGAACAAACAATTAAACAAAGCCAAATCACACTCGTTATACTTCCAATTTTCTTCCCCCCGATTTGTTACTTTTCTCAAACATTAGCGGTTAATACTATCTTCCTCCGTCCAATTTTCACCTTCTTTTTCATTCTCTCTTTTGTTTTCGTCCTTTTCATTAAACACGAATACGAGCATGGCACGAGCACGAATAGGCATGACACGATTCTAACTGTGCCCGGGCCTGGGCCGGGCCTAGCAAAGTTAACAAATGGGCTTGCATGGCACGACACGAAAACTAACGGGCCGTGCCAAGCTCGGCACGAAATAAATGGGCCCAAAGCGTGCCCGTGCCGTGCCAGCCCAAGCACGACCCAACGCCCATGTACACGAACAACCATGTTCCAGTTTTATCTTTCTCTCTGTAGCTCATTTGCGGAGCTCTCCTTCCATAAGGGGTCTTTATAATCGTAGTCGACGAGTTCTTCACAGGAATCTCCATAAGAGTAGTCGTAACGTAGATTCCCCCAAAAATCAAACACTCTCGTTTAAACATTATTCGAAGAACTGAGAACCGAATAATAATCGTCTTGATTTCTAGAAATCGGTGCTTCGATCAAATCAACACCGCAAAAAACACTTCCATCTTACAATCCGAAGACTCCAAGTAATATATATATATATATATATTTTTTATAGTATGAACGATAGTCTGCTTAATTAAAAATCATCATAGAAATCGGTGCTTCGATCAAATCAACACCGCAAAAAACACTTCCATCTTACAATCCAAAGACTCCAAGTAATATATATATATATATATATATATTTTTTTTTTATAGTATGAACGATAGTCTGCTTAATTAAAAAATCATCATTATAATGATACGATTAATGATTGATGCGTATTTGATTTAAATGGTTATTCACTTATTCCCGTAGTCTATCTATACTGATCGCCTAATGCAAGCGGATCAGAAATGTGAGAAAGAAGGACAAGGGCAGAACAGGAAAGGAAAATAGAAAAAAAGGTGCCAGCCAGGTGGGGTATGATGGTGGAGCCCACAAAAGTTTTACCCTTTCTGCCTTTTCGCTTTGTCTTTCTCTCCTCTGCGCTTTTTATCGGCCTGATGTCACGTTTTCTTAATACGCACCCACCCACCCCCACGTAGGGGTGTACATGGGTCGGGTGGTCCGGGTTTAGGCATTTTAATCACCCGACCCATGCACTACGGTTTGGGAAATATTAAACCCAAACCCACCCAAAAAAATCTAAACCCTACGGTTTGTTTTTAATTGGGTTGGGTCGGGTTGGCGATATTTTTAAGTAAAAACCCAACCCAACACAAAATATGTAATTATTCTACATGATAAAAATATTTTATAACAAATTAAAAATTCAAACGAATAAACCGAGGCGAAAGGTATCAAAATTCACAAATATTGTTTGAATTTTAATAAAACTTTATTTACTTCAACTTATGTCTAACTTTTAAAATTGTACACAAGAAAAAAATACGTGAATCATAGCTATATTAAATATATGTCTAAACTTTAAGTCGAAGAATGCATTAGATTAGTGAGACTTTAAGATAAAAACATGGCGAAATATCTTAATTTTCTCATAAGTATGACTATATACGACATAAATATTTTTTTGGATACGAACTCATACCCATAATTAGAACACGGGTTGGGTCGGGTTCTACGGGTTGTGTAATCCAAAATCCAAACCCAACCCAAAAGAGGCGGGTTGTACAAAAGAAAACCCTCACCCAACCCAAAACCTTCGATTTAGCGATAAATACGGGTGGGTTGGGTCGGGTTGGACGGGTGGGTCGGTTTGCGGGTGTGTTTGTACACCCCTACCCCCACGCATTTGCCTATCCCCTTCCCCTTCTCTTCTTTTCTATCTCAACTGTGGCGTCTTTCTCCTTTCTTCTTTCATTTCTGGCCTGCTCCCTTTACTCACTATATATGTTGTGATTTTTATTTTTATTTTCTTCGTTTGTTCACATCCCATTTTCGAACACCAGAGCAGCAGAGAGAGACGAACTAGAGAGAGAGAGATTTCTTCTGTTTACCCTTCTAGGGTTTTCTTCACCATCCCTCTCCCCTTTGCCCCTTTTACAGAGATTGAGGTATTATTCTAATATACTTCCTTTCTCTAGCCTCGACTGCTTTGGTTACTGGATCCCCTCTCTGCCCTTATACCCTTTTTCAGGTAATCTTTTTGTTGCTGATCTTCTCCTGGTGAAATGGATCTTTCTCTTGATGTGTTTCTTCTGTGTGTTTTGAATTTGATCTTTTTCTTATTACTTCACTGTTTTCGTGTCCGGTGTGATTGATGGATTCTGGTGATTATGGGTTCTTTTTAAAAATGGTTTTTTTTTACCCGTCTCACCTTTATTTGCCGGCGGACTTGTTCTCGTTCCTCCCCTGTTTCTGTGGTGTATTCTGTTTCCTTACAAGGTTTGTCCGGAAAAAAAGTTGTGGGTGGTTCTTGTCTTTATATGGTATATATTAGTGGACTGCTTTGGATCTACTGCTCGTTGTTGAGTTTTTTTTGCTATTGGTTCCTCCTTCCTTTTGAAAGTTTTTTTTTTCTTTTGGCGGAGCTGTTGATTTTGATGGAAAACTGAGAAAGGATACTCCTTTGTTCGACTGGGGAAATTGTAGCAGTACTAGTTCTACCTTGGCTGACTTGTCTTCTTGGTAGTGGTCTAGATGTGGAACTTGAAAGGATATTTTCTTCAATATCTTATCTTTTTATTTTATTTTATGTGTTCATTATTGGAGGGGGGGTTTTACTGAGGATAAAAGTTGAGCTGTCAGTCTGCATCACCTCCCATTGAACTTCTTGTTTGTGTTCGTGAAGGCCTCTTTGTTCTTTTCTTCTTTTGTAGCTGAATTAGTTTTGCTGAACTTGCTGCCTTTTGTTACTGTTTGTAGGGATTTCAAGAGTGGGTTTTCTCTGAAGAAGCCCAATTCTGTTCTCTGTACTCTTTGGAAGATTTGGTGTACTTCTCATTAAGACACGGTTTGAAGATTGGAAAGATGGGTTACCTTTGTGATTTCTGTTGTGAGCAGAGGTCGATGGTATATTGTCGCTCAGATGCGGCTTGCTTGTGTCTATCATGTGATAGAAATGTTCACGCCGCCAATGCTCTATCGAAACGCCATTCCAGAACACTCTTGTGTGAGAGGTGCAGTTCACAACCCGCACTAGTTAGATGTGCAGAGGAAAAGGTCTCGCTTTGCCAGAACTGCGATTGGATGGGTCATGGCACCTCGACATCAGCTTCCGCACACAAGAGGCAAACTATCAATTGTTATTCCGGTTGCCCTTCTGCTTCCGAGCTCTCCTCGATATGGTCCTTTGTTTTGGACTTCCCTTCTACCAGTGAATCTACTTATGAGCAGGGCATGGGATTAATGAGCATAGCTGAGAATGTCGCCACGGAGGCCTGGCCATCCTCTAATGAAGAGGCTGACCGTCAAAACTTGGAGAGTATTCTTGAGATGAGCGATTCACGCGAAGTTGGAAAGTCAAGTGCTTGGGATGGATCTCGACCGATGACTGGGTCTGCTGCCAACCCAGAGAGACAAGGTCATCAGCCTACTGGATCGGGTAGTTCAACATTGCCAAAGGTATATGGTACTTGCATAATCTCCTTTGATGAATTGACAATGTAGCTTGTAATGTTTTGTATGAAAAAGTGCTTTTAGCTGCCTTCATAGTTTTTGCTCCATTTCTTCAGGCCACAGTCCATATTCATATTCATGTCCTGGATTAGCTAGAAAGCTAATAATATGACTTGTCAAGTCCTGGATTTTAAATTGCCTTTTCTTTTAGAGCCTGTTTCCTGAGTTTTATACATTTATATTCCTGGTTCTTGCATCTGATTTGTCGGTGGAGATTACTCGAACGAATGAGTTGATCCAAAATTTCAGTTTTATAGTACTACCTTGGCAATGTTCCTCCCCTTGGAGGTGTGCAGCTACAAAGCAGTGACTGCAGAACTTCTGCTGTAGTTTCACTTGCAATTTATTCTAGTAAGACATGTCAGTATTTGTTCATACATGTATTACTACTGCTGTGATTAAAAATTTGACCTAGATCTTCTTTCTTTGTATTCTCTGTACGGTGATATGGTCAATATTTGTTTTGCACCAATTGATTTGCTGCATAGTATTGTTACTTATCCTTTTACATGTGTATTCAGTATTCAGATCACTAAACTTCACGCTGTAAAAAAATGCAGTTAGGCTTTCCTGGAAGTAAAGGTGCTACATTCTGTGAAGATGATGGTCTTTATGATGACTTCAATATGGATGAGATGGATTTGAATCTTGAAAACTATGATGAGCTCTTTGGTGTTGGCGCCAACAATCCTGAGGAAGCCTTTGAGGGTGGTGGGATTGGTAGTTTGTTTGGGACAAAGGACATGTCTGGTGCTGAATCCTACTGCCAGGGTGCTGCTGCGGCTGAGGTAATGCTCTTTTATTTCCGCCTCTGTATTTATGGAACTTCTCCGCATGACAGATCTCTCTCCTTGTTCCCTGTTGTTCTGTGATGGTTGTCTAAAAGGCAGATCTAAGCATAGTGGTGGTAATGAGTTTAGGGGTTAGCTGGTTAGGTTATAATGGGTGAGAGGGCTTTTGGGAGCAATGACACTATCTTGGGTTAAAGTCTTGATTCTTTCCTTCTTCAGGTGTCATCAGTTGGACGTGTGAATGCAATGCAGCAGCCTACATGCAGCAATGCAGCATCTGCTGATTCCATTATGAGCACTAAAACTGAACCAGTTATCTGTGTCACGCCAAGGCAAGGTCATTCAAATCTCTCGTTCTCCGGCATTACTGGGGAAAGTAGTGCCGCTGCTGATTATCAAGATTGTGGAGCTTCTCCAATGCTGCTCATGGGAGAGTCTCCATGGGGTCCCCCTGGTGCTGAAGGTTCCCCATCAGCGAACCGAACTAATGCTGTGATGCGGTACAAGGAAAAGAAGAAGACACGCAAGTAAGTTTTCATGCCGACGTAAAAATATGGCCAACATGTTAGCTCTTTCTGTTGACGTGTACACAGGTTATTGCAATCATTCAGACAAGTTCTTCATTACTGACCGTGTGCTTGTTAATGCTGCAGGTTTGAAAAGAGAGTAAGGTATGCATCCCGCAAAGAAAGAGCCGATGTACGGAAGCGTGTGAAGGGCCGATTCGTGAAAGCCGGTGAAGCATATGATTATGATCCTTTGACGGAAACCAGAAGCTACTGAGAGTACAATTTTCTTAAAACCAAATTCCCCTTCCAGAGAAGGAAAGATCAGATTGTTCTGATGTGGAGAAATTCAATCCTTGTCTTTTCACTAGACACTGGCTGAATATCTCTACTTTTCCTTGCAGTGACGATATGTAACTGACTCTGAGGGTTTGAAGAGGAAGGGAGAAAGTTATGTCATAGGACGAGGAAATGGATCGCGGGATTTATAGTACTCAGGTCGACGAAATTGAGCCCCCCTCCATTCCCAAAGCCATTGGTGGACTGACAAAATTCCTGGAACAATGGAGAGAGTACTTCATTTGCAGTGTATAAAAAATGATGATGAATGTTGGTGTAGACGTCTGACGATGTTTTTGTATTCTTGGATTCGCGGGCAGTCGCTTTATGAGAAAGAGCGGCTGATCTCACAGGCTAGAGAAATGATCTCTCTGACTTAAGTTCTCAGCTTAAGTTATAATTTTGATGGTATGTATAGCAAGATGAAGATTCTATGTATCTTTATTATTCAGAGAGCTGTGGTGACTGGTGACGATATCGATAGCTGCCCCTCAGTGTTCCGGAGGGGTTGGTTAAAACTGTCTTTCTACAGGTTTGTACATATATAGCCTCTAGGTAGAATTGACTTCAACTATGTATTCCCTCTGAAGAGCTTTCTCTGTAACGATGAGATGATATGGTCGTTTCTGAAGCGTTTTGTGCTAGTGAATTACTGTTTCTGTTGATTATGGAGCCATTGCTTTCGAGATAATGTTTCCAAGATACCGGACTGATCTTCTGTTTGATCAAGTCTGTCAGATGCTGCAACTATGGTATACCTTTAAGCTAAGAACTGGTTGATTAGGCTCCATACAGTTGGCGCTTTTCCCGAATTGGACTCATAGCAACTCCCATGTTAAAAGTAAGACGTCGAATTAGACCGCAAAATTTTCTTTTGCAGCTGATTGCACATCGAGAGCAGCTCCTTTCGTAGGCTTACTTGCTAAATGATATAGAGAAGTGGAGAACCGATACAAAGACAGGAAGCCAACGTTGATGCTCTTTCGTAGGCTGTACTCGTACCTACCAGCTACATGGAACTGATATGATGTAGGAGAACCTATACGAAGGCAGGAAGCTACCGCGGATCCTCTTTCGTAGGCTGTACTAGTACTCACCGGCTACAAAGAACTGAAGGGCGCAGCCTTAAAGAACAGAAGGCACACCTTTTGTCTAGAGCTGCTAAGTTAACCAATTATATTGCAAAGAACATGACCATATCATTCCAACACCATGTGTCTAGCATTCTTGGAGACAAAATTGTGGGGGATAACCATAAGAAAGCATTGATCTTGTTTGAAAGTATTGAATCAATCTTCATCTGAACTACTGTCGTCAGACATTCCTCCAATGTCATCTTCTACACCAGAATCCTGCATGCATAAGGAAAATGATAAACAGGAGCACCTAAGTAAAAATGTTTATGTTTATGCTTGTGGGCAGTTAACATACCAGCTTCTTATCCCAGTCTTTCATCTTGGGATTCGTTAACATATAGTTGTCACGCAAGGGAGCCCACGATGGGGTTCCTCCTTCTGCATCTCCTTCTGATGTATTTACCTACATGATTAACCGCAATGGAGTGTGAAAGAACACAAGTTGCAGATTTGAGGCCGAAGTGGTAAATACAACGTGGAAACAAGCGAGACAGCTTCAGACTATGAATATTTCTACCGTGATATGCATTTAGTAAAAGCAACCAACCTTAACAGTCGAACTGGCTGATGGAGCCCTGCGTAACTCGCCATAGAAAGCATCTTTCTTTCTCTTGTTTATAACTAGCAAGATTCAGAACAGCAAAATGCAGGTTTTCAGAACAGATAAAGAAGTATATATCATCGGAACTCGGAAGCATAAACAAATGAGCAGCGCAGGGGCAACAAGACAATGAAATGAAATAAGTATCCCAGTAAATGAGACAACTTATGCAAAGATTTCAATTCTAGATTTCAATTGTGGTGATTTAGTTAGTGATTATACCTTTAGCGTCTTTAGATCTCAAGGGATTCAATCCCTTCTGTGCAACTTGTGCCTTGTTAACCTGCAACACCAAACAAATACATATATCAATCCATTGTTCAGCCAGCAAGGAAAATGCCATAATTTAAATTCTCTATCAAGCCAACCTACCGCGTTGAACAACTTCACCACTGGCATCAACAAAGCGAGTCATGCACAGAGAAAGGTTAACAGATTTAGTACTTCAGGTGAAAGATCAGATGTAAGAGCACACAATGCTGGAAAAATCTAGGCCTGAAACTAGAATAACTACCTCCTTTTGTAGCCACACTAATCAGAAACCTTTCATGTGTATCCAAGAAATTAGCAGGCTTCACATGCCCCTTCTCAGCAACCTAGGCAGAAATGTACCAGAAACAACATTAACCAAGCAATTCATAGAATGAGAACCGAAATGGAATTCGAACATCAACTTACCAATTTCTTCTCCTTCTTGGCATCTCCTTTAGCCTTCCTTTCTACTTCTTCCTCAGCAAGCTTCTCTGCCACTAGCTTCTTGTGTCCTGATAACACAGGTCCCTGCCACAAGAAACCCACCAAAATTTCACTCCACAAACTATGAAACAAAAACTTATCAAACAGCTAGACAAGATCAAAGCTTCACCAGTGGATCTTCAGAAGCACCCTTCTTGATTACACTCTTGAAAGCATTCCTGAAAGCTCTGGATCCTTCACCAAGCTTCGTGATTCCAGGCAGAGTACCTTCTCCTTCTTCGTCCGAGTCTTCTTCATTCCCAAGCTCCTCTGCTTCTTCACCACCTACGTCCTCTGCAATGACATACTCGGGCAACAGATTATCATCTTCAACTCCCTTTGCTAATCCCTCTTCTGTATCTTCATCGTCGGAATTGTAGTCGCGAGCCTTCTTGCGAAGGAATTTCTTCACCCTCGGGTCGATTTTCACTCGCTCTCCCATTCCGGGGAACTGTTTCTGCTTCTTCCTCGCTTTGTTGCTGCCCTTTTTGTGCCCTGATTTCCGCTTGTTCATTCGGTTCCCGAAGTCTCGAACCTGTGTTTCCTCCACCATTTTTTTCCCCCAAGCTGACCCGGGAAGATTTGAGAAGGCGAACGGAGACTTGAAACTGTGAATGAAGCAGCGGCTGAAATACTCGGTCGTCGATGGTGGAGGAGACGGCGGGGAAGCAACTCTGTGTATTTGGGATTGTGGGAACTATCTCGCCAATGAGAAACATAACGTTAGGGTTTAAGCCTTAAAGGGAACGAATATCTTCCCCAATCCTACCTGAAGTTTTGGGGTATGCTGATTACGGTACCCGGTTATTTAATCACTCTAGCCGGTAAAGATAATATTATCATACTTTTGGTTAGGGCTGTTAATGAGTCGAGCCAAACCGAGATTTGCCTTGTTCAGTTTTCGTTCATTTATAAACGAGTCGAACTCAAACTCGGCTCGTTTATGAACGAGTTGAGTTGAACCGAACACGAGCCAACTTATTTATTAAATATTTGCTCATCTTTAAGATTAAAATTTCGGCTCGAGCTCAACTCTAAGATAATTTATGAATTAAATACTCTAATATTTATATGTCATATATGATACATGTGATTGACTGATCTCCATGTCATATACTAGACATATTTGCTCACATACTTAAATTATTAAACATCACAAGAGGTGTGATATACAATTTAATAAATATATGAATCGTTAACAAACCAACTCATAAGATATAGATCAATTTTCTCATAAGTCGTGATCAAGTTGGCTCGCTAGTTACAATGTTGAGATATCTCATGAGCTCAAAATTAGATAGTTCACGAGTCGAACTCAACAAGCCACCTAATCAAGTTAGTTCACGATCCTCACGAGCCGAACAAAGTTAAGCTCAAGCTCGGCTCGTTAATAACTGAATCGAGCTTTTATTGGATCGAACGAGTTTTTATTGAGTTCGAGACCGAACCGTCTGCGAATAGTTTGGTTCATTAACAACCCTACTTCTGGTCAAACTTCTTGGTTCATTATCCAGATTTTCACTTTTTAATGCTACTTCTCTAGTTCTTTTTTATTACATCGCAAGAGATAAAATTTTGTAAAAAGTCATCGAGACTCTATCCATCGTGAAATTGTTGGTTATGTTGATAATATCTCACAAGCTATTATCAAAGAATAGCTTGTAATTCTTCAACATAATTCGTCCTACATAGTGGATTGTGAGTTAGCTCCGAAACATACAATAAGTCTCGTATGAGAGTTTTGTTACCTTCTCATGTGTGTAAAACAACTATGCATTTTCCTGCCACTCCTACTTTCTTTCCATCTCCCAATATGACTTGAGAGTGATAGTTGTTGTTGATGTCAATGAAGGACACCAAATCTCCAGTCATGTGTACTACAACCACTATCCACCATCTAGGGAAGCTGTGCGTTTTGCTCACCCTTTAAAGCATAATAAAGCAACCTCATTTTTTGTGTTGCTTGACTCGTCTTCTTCTTGCTTGTTTTGGAACCAACAATCTCTATGGGAGTGATTTTGAATTCTACACTTGGTGCACTTGAATATGCTGTCTATTGTCGTATGACCCACCTTTTTGTAAAATATACAACTCGAGCTGGTGTTGCCAATTTTTGTTGTTGTTGTTGATTACGTATGTTGTTTTCTCTATAATTGAATCTTCCTCTTCCACTTCCTTGTGAGTTTCCCCCTCTTTGTGCTTGCTCTAGTTTGGCAGATTACTTTTCGTTGTGTTGGCTTTTGATTGGAAAACTTACTCTAATAGTTATTTAGTGAAGTGGCTCATTCTTTGCTCGTGAGGTACAAGTGATCCCATAAACTCACTCATTAGTAGCATTGCCAAATCCTTGGCTATTTCTATGACAATGACAATATGTTCGAACTTTGATGGTATGATGCTGAGAATTATCTCCACGATTTTCTTTCTTCCATAATGTCACCAATGACTTTGATATGTTTGACTGTCTTTGCCATACGTGAATGGAAGTCCTTAATAGTGTTTTTTCCTTCATCATAAAGTCGTTGAAATGATGCCATAAATGTTAATGTTTAGTGGAAATCGCCTTCTCAGAACCTTGAAACTGTCCACAAGACGTGGCAAGCTTTTTAGGCCTTTTTAATCAATAAATTATTGTAAACTTGATTTGCTCACTATGTGCTTAATTATTCTCAAGGAACTGACATTCTCCTTGTACTCCTTTATATGATTGCCTGCTCGTTTCTTGGAATCATCCCTTTTTGTGGATCTTCGTTGCCTTCTTGGATGACATCCCATAGATCTTGAGAAATGTAATTATCTCCATTTGGGCAATCCAATACCCTTTGATTTAAAGAGGTGAAAAACATGGTATTTGCTCAAACTATTGCCATGATTTTTTTGTTTCTGTGATATTTTTTAGGCAAGAAAAGGGGTTTTGAAAGGATAGAAGGACATTTGCTCTAAAATAAAATTTGTTGGTATTAGCCGAAGTGTAGTGGGAATTTGGATTAATCGCAAAGAAAATGTTTGGTGTGTCACTCACGTTTAGAATACACTCAAAACAAACAATGCCTTATAATGTTGGCTATTGTTTAATCACTCAAAACATAAATACAACACACAATACCGAGTATAACCTCTTTAAATTAATAATCAATAATTAATGACCTAGTATAACTTAATAATTTTTCCGGTCTCTACTTGGACCAGTGTAAAAATGAGCAAATTTAATAAGA